TTCTTGAAGTCAGATATATTAAATTTTTACAACTTCTTAATTTCATATCTTGCTTAAAACCATAGCTCCCATTTCAAAGGTAGATTTTTAGTTCTGTCTTGTTTTCAAGTACATTTATGATTTTAATTTTCATGTTTACTCGTAGATCCACCCAAATTTACTTTGCAGTCAGCTAGATGACATAGTTGGATAGTATGACAGAGTGGCCAAAAGATTGAACTTTACAGCCAGTGACATTTAAATCCAGGGGCTTCACTTTCTGGCCATGTGAACTTGAGCAATTATTTAAGTTCTCTGGTTTTGACTTTCTCATCTGGTAAATGGAAATAATAACAGTGCATACCTCATTGGACTATTCTTTGGACCTGAATAGAGAAAAGTTTTCAGCAAATGATCCAATAAGCGTTCTATTAATACTAGCTGCTCTCATTATCATGATGAACGTCGTGTGCCCAAGCACACCTGCGGCAGAACCAGACGTTCCCAGTTCCCAGGCCGGTGCCCTTTCCTTCCCCGCAGCTGTCCCTCTCAGGGGTCCCCTCCTGGGAACAGGAGGGGCTCCAGGGAGTGAAATATCTGTGGGTTCAATTCCATAGTTGGCTGCAGGATATCAAGGTCTAGGTCCTTTTTACCAAAGCCCTGAGTTTAAAAGGAAATTCAGGCCAGGCGCAGTGGCTCACGCCTGTAATCCTAGCACTCTGGGAGGCCGAGGCGGGCTGATCATTTGAGCTCAGGAGTTCGAAACCAACCTGAGCAAGAGCGAGACCCTGTCTCTACTATAAATAGAAAGAAATTAATTGGCCAACTAATATATACAGAAAAAATTGGCCAGGCATGGTGGTGCATGCCTGTAGTCCCAGCTACTCGGGAGGCTGAGGCAGAAGGATCACTGGAGCCCAGGAGTTTGAGGTTGCTGTGAGCTAGGCTGACGCCATGGCACTCACTCTAGCCTGGGCAACAAAGTGAGACTCTGTCTCAAAAAAAAAGGGAAATTCATTTGTCTGTCTCTGCACACAGCCGTCATCAACTCCCATATTACCAAGGAAATAAGGACATCTGTGTAGCTGGGAGAGTGGTAAAGATAAAGGCAAGGACAGAACACTTGTTTGCCCAAGCTTGGCCTCAATAAATTTTGTATTATTAACTCTATTTGACTTGTTCATTTTCTCCTTTCCTCTATAGGTTGTGCTGTAATATACTAATAAAAGTATTATATGTTATATTGAAAACTATTCTACAGGATATGGAGCTACTTAAAGGGAAAGGTCAAAATGGGCCTCATCCCAAAAGAAAGTACCCTCCTACCGGTTCCCTCATTAATTCATGAGCAAAATACAAGTGTCCTTTAACATCTCCATCGGCCATGTCATTCAGAGCTAATAACATGTTTCAAAGTACAATTCTTGATAGAACAATGGACACCAAAAGTAAGTGGTCCATTTAATGTAGGACCGAAAAAAACAGCCGTCATTTCCAAGGGGAAAGACAGGACAACTGGACTTGCTGTGACACAATTTCATTCTCCAAGGGGAAACCTTCCTAAGGCAGTTTCATAGACAATTCTGGTAAAAACAGGGTTTGTCTTTCTCCCTGCCAGCATTGTAAGAAGGATCATGGAGAAAAAATCTAGTGTTTTCTGCTAAACAGACAGGAACTGAAAAGGGTTGGCTGAGGCTTTTACTAGCTGCCTCTAAAAGCCCAGCTGCAGCTGCCTTCCTGAGTGTGGTCTGCACCCACATTGTCACACTCTGTGGGAGGGTGACCATGTCCTTTAGCACGTGGTCTGTGGGCAGTGGCCCCCACACCCCTCTCAGAAGCAGAGGCAGAGACACATGAGGGTCAGGTGGAGAAGGCTGGAAGAGGAGGATCCCCTTCCTCCACAAAGGGCTGAGGAAGTGGCCATGGGGACTGCCCAGGGTCTTGTCTCTGAGGAAGACCTAAACAGGCTCACCACTCTCAGTCCCTGTTGGGCCACAGGAATGGGCCAGGACAGCATGGGAGACACAGACAGAGCAGAGGCCTTCCCTTAGCCACAGGAGAGTCCTGTCTGGGCAGAGTCGCTGAATTCCAGAATGTCACAGTGGGGAGGGCCCTCAGACATGACCTGCCCAAGACCCTCCTTTTACAGAGGAGGGGGAAGCCCAGGGGCTGGAGCTTTCCTGGCCTAGGCAGGGCAGAGCCAGACCTGGAGCCCATTTTCCTCTCCCAGCCCAGGGCCTGCCCTGCTCAGTGGGGCCTGGGAGCACTGCCAGCCCCTCCCACCATCCCCAGGCTCAGCCCCTCCCACCCTCCCCAGCTCAGCCCCTCCCTGGCCTGTAGTCTGATCCCACCAGGGACCCAGCAGCTGCTGGAGTTTCAAACTCAACTTCCCTCTCCTGGGAAGGGGAAGCAAGTACTTTGAGAGGCTTAGCTGAGCAGGGCTTCTGGCTAGCTAAGGGTTAAAGCCAGCCTGGCCCACTCCCCAGTTCCTGGAAGAGGGAACCAGGGACAGGGGGCTCAGCCCTCAGGCTGCCAGGGGATCCACCCAGCAGGTGGGCGGGGAGCACAGCTGCAAGGAAGATAAAGAAGAGGGAAGGGAGGCAAGGGACTCTCTGGTCTACAGAACTGCTAATCCTGAAGAAGAGGAAAAAACAAGCCAGGGAGCATGTGGTCATTCATTATACAAGGTACAGTCAAAAATCCATTTAAATCTCATAAAATTTAACACTGTGTCATCAACATAAAGTTTCTTTCATTTGTCTGACACACACCCCATCGCCACACTCACAAACCAACAGCAGTGCCCTCTCAACCCCTGCGTGACACCCAAACTCCGTGTCTTGGTGCTGTCTCCACTGGCCCCATGTCCCTGCAGCCACATGCAGACCCTTTCTTCTCCAGCTCCCCGCCAGCAGCCACTGGGTGGGCGCTCAGGAAATGCTGTCATGGTCAGGCTGACCAGTCTCCACAGTGGGGGCCACCCTCACTGGCGCTGCCTGCATTTCTGGGAAAGTGCAGTGTGCGCTGAGCCACCCTCAGGCCCGACCTGCCCTTCACGTTCACCTTCCAAGCACACATCCAGGAAGGGTTCAGGGGTCTAAGAATGATAAGGACAAATTCTTCATTACCTCCCTCACCATCACTCCTTCTTCACCCAACCCTCCCCAAGTCAAGGCTGAACTTGAACAGGGGACAACCCAAAACCAAAGAAGAAATGAATCCAACTGTGGAGCTCCATGAATTGCTATAGAGTAGATTCTGGGAGATGTTCCTTCTGAGGACGGGCTCTGTCCAAACTCCACTGCTAGGGGTCTGTCTCGTTGACTACCAGGGAGGGCAGGCCTTTCGGGAAAACCAAATTCACTCCTCCCCATTTCCTGTTGGACCTCCACAGAATCACTTTCGTTTTCTGGACACAGACAGCCGATCCCTAAAATTAGGAATTTTAAGTCCTTTCTTTTTCTTTTCCTTCCTTCCTTCCTCCCATTTTTTCTTTCTGTTTCTTTGTTTCTTTAAAATTCCTTCAGTACCAGGGCTTACAGAGAAAACTCTATACAATTGAACATATTTCTCCAAGTTAACAATATTGTGGAAGTGAAGAAAGCCTACATTTTGCTGTCGACAAAAAGTTACCGATTTAAACAGGATCTAACCCAGTGCTATCGCAAAGCTCATCTTTGCTTCCAGAAGTCCTGTTTTACAAGTGCTTTCTAATCCATTAAATTTCACATACTTCCCTGCAAGTTCAATCAGTGCTGAAATATTAAAACAAAAATATTGACAATAAAAGCTTTCACAAAAATTCATATTTACTAGAACTTATTTTTTCATTAGCTTTTATTTAATATTATTATTTGCATAATCATATGATATTTCATAAAGCAATGAGTATGACAGACAGCCTAGATCAGGTCATTCTACTTTCTTCCTCTCCATTTTCCCTCCCCGATTTCATGGCCTCCTCTAGCCCAGGTTAGCAATCTACTGGTTCTTCCACATCTTTAGCATGTTCTTAGAAACATGTGGGTGCATAGACACCCTTAAATTTTGGAGGCTGATTTCCTTGTATAAAACAAAGATTTCATTGTATTTAGTTTCCTGAATCTTCCTGATGGAGATTCATACATTTTACTTCATGAAAACTGAAGATTCCTCCCAGACAACTGGAACATTTGCATTTTTAGGCCTGCATAATACTCCAGGGTACACATACTCTCAATTTCTTCCATCACTCCCGATTGTTGGGCATCTCCTCTTTTTTTGTCCAGATTTTTCCCCAGAACAGGGCTGTGATGGACATGGTTTCATCTGAGGTCTCCAGAGTCTGAGCAGCATTTCAGGGTGGAGGAGAGGCCACCCACAGGGATGAGAAAGGACATAGTCTATAGGACTCATTGTACCTGAGATGGCAAATCCTTTTTAACATTTTCAAATGGAAACTAATGCCAATTACACAAGCACTTTTAAGATAAACCTGAGACTTCCAAGGGCCTCTCCTCTGAGATGATCTGCCTGGAGCTGAGCCCCAAGCAGAGGGGTGCCCCTCCACTCTCCTCTCCAGTGGAGCTCAAGCAGCCCAGACCAGAGGAGCTTCTTGCAGCTCAGACACTGGGGTTCTAGGACACTGCTGAGTTCCAGGCCAGCAGTACCCTATTTCAACTCTTTACCCCCAGGATGCAGCTATTTTATCTCTCTGCATCCCTCTTTCTAGGCAGTTCCCGGTTCTCTGGGCTTCCCTGCTAACAGAGAAGTGGCCTGCCGTCCCAAGATAAGGTCCCCTTAATTCAGGCAAGGCTGCCGCAGCTCCTTTCCCACCCTACTCATCACCAAAAGGACATTTCATTCTTTCTGTTTACCCTGGCCTGCAGCCGAATATGCTGCATTTGCCAATTTTAACAGAGTGGTCTTCGCCTTCTGTTCCCAAAAGACATCAGAACCAGATCAGCCCTTCCAATAATCACAGGCCCAGCTATCTCAGCCCCACACAATTGCTCTGCCTCCAGGGACCCCAGGCTACTCACTGAGGAGGAGGCTGATGAACCCCAGGAGACTGGAGGCCCCGCAAGGCGGGTGGTCCTCTGAGCAGGGCCCCATGCCCGCTGCCTGCAAGCCTGGTCAGCTACAGCGGAAACATTAAAAAGGGAAGAAACAGCTTGCACAAACAAGCTGCCCCACCCCCAAGGGCGGGACTAAATGAGTTATTATGCCCATAATGCTAGCGAGAGAGCATTGAGCATTTATCGTGCACATTCAATAAGCAATTACAGAGAAATGCATTCAGTTATCAGGTATGAAACGTCTCATTTCCTAAAGTGCTAAGTTTGACAGTTGATATCTCTGACATTTCACTTTACACTTCTTGTTTTATTTTTATTGTGAAGGTACATCCTCCTTCTTTCAGATGCATAGTTTGGCTTGTGGTTATCTTTCAAAGTTCTTATTAGAGCAATTTTTGTGAAACCATGGGTAAGGCAAAAATCCATTTTCTTTACAACTATGAGTTCCATTATGGGAACTAATGCTGCACAGACAGCTCAAAATATCAATGAATTATTTGGGAAGAATGTGGCTAATGAATGCACAGTATATCAATGGTTTGAGAAGTTCTGTTCTAGTTAGTTTAATCTTGAAAATGAGCCATGTGGGTAACCTGAGACCAAGGTGCATGATGAAGAGCTGAAAGCTTTAGTGGAAGCGAATCCATCTCAACTTATGCATGAATTAGCACCAGGGTTTGGTATTACTATTCCAACAATATTGGACCACTTGAAACAAATCATTAACGTCAAGAAGCTGGATGGATGGGTGCCGCATGAATTAAAAGAGCACCAGAAGAGAAAGCGTCTCGAAGCTTGCCTTTGTTTGCTGTCACAACATAAAGGTGAACCATTTCCACACCATGTTGTTACCTGTGATGAAAAATTGATTCTTTGTAACAATAGCAATCATTCAGCACAATGGTTGGATAAAGACAAAGTGCCGAAACACAGTCCAAAACCGAATATTCATCAAAAAAAGCTAATGGTATGTGTTTCCCGGTCCAGCGCTGGTATTATCCACTACAGTTTCATGAAACCTGGTCAAGCAATTACAGCGATGTCTACTGTAACCAGCTGAATGAAATGATGAGGACACGTGCAATTAAGCAGCCGAGATTGGTCAATAGAGACAGGCCCATCCTCTTGCAAGACAATGCTCCAACACATGTTGCACAAACAACGCTGCTCAAACTACAGAGACTGGACTTGGAAACACTCTGTCATTCACCATATTCACCAGACCTTGCACCAACTGACTACCACTTCTTACAAGTGTTGGACCACTTCTTTCTTGCAAGGAAAAATATTCAACTCTCAACAAGCTGTGGAAAACGCCTTTCGCAATTTCATTGCCACTCGCTCTCTAGTATTCTTAAATGCTGGAACAAGCTACCATTAAGATGGCAAAACTGTGTCCATAGTATAGTTGCATACTTCGATTAATTGTACTGCTTCTTGTTTAAGATACAATAAACTAAACTCTTGATTTGAAATCGAACATTTCATATTTAATCACCAAATATAACCTCAGGCTGTGATGTGCCTGACATTATGTTGACGAGGTCCCCGTCCCTGCAGTCACAGCCAGCCTGATGCTCTCACACATGCCCTCCCCTGGTGCTTACCTGCTTACCTGGGTTCACAGCTCAGCCCTAGGCTACCCCAGTCACCAACAAGTCACTCTCGTACAGCAAAGATGAGCTAGGCTCTGCCTAAGTTTGGTGCTTTCCTCCTTCCATTCAATAAGTCCAAGTCCTGTTCTCTCGCTGAAATATCACCTGTTGAAAATGTCAACCGAAGTTCTGCTGCCTAAGAAGCTCTGAGCAAAAGAACAAAGCTCTTTGTGGAGCGTGTCAACTGTGAAGAGCCCTATGCAAATATTAGCATTAACCTTCTGCTGGCAGCCATATGGTTTCGTTGGTGGCCACTAATGTTAGTCATCCTCTGAACACACTCAAGGCAAAGCTAAACCCCCACAGAATCTGACAGGCTCTTGGCTGGATTGAACCATGACTTTCCCCCTAAGCTTCTAGCAACCCTGCTCCTGCTGTCTCAGATGAGTGGGCCAGAGAAGTACACACTCCCTCTGTCACAGCCTCAGCCGGCTCACACTCACCACCACCTACCAAGGTTCAAAACCTGGTTACTTCTCTCCAAACCTGGGCAGACCCCAACATTCAAGAGCTCACCTCCCATTCCTGTGGGGGCTGCACCATCCCCCTAACCACTGGGCAGTGCCACCTTCTCCTGCCCACTGAGGCTCCCCCTGCGGCTGCCCAGGCAGAACACCCCCAAGGGTCATCTGCAGGCTGGCCCCATGGCTCAAGGCAGTCAGGTCACTGTGTATTAACCCACTTAATGGGTGTGAAACCAGAGAACTAGGGGGATTGTGTGACCTGTAAAAGGCCACCCGGCTAATGAAAAGACAAGGTCTGTGTTAGAGTGTGAAGTATATGTTGGGGGTAGAAAGAATTCTCAGATAGTGACTAGGATATACGAAAGTAAAAGTTTATTTATTTCCTGAGGAAGACAGAGAGGGAGGAGGGCCATGACACACAGAGGGAGGAAAGAAGTGTTGGGCAGCCAGGAAAGTTGTTTGGAGCTTTTAAAGGGTAGAAATGGCTTTTTTTCTCTGCTACAGGGGACTGATAACAAAAGTGGCTGTGAAGCTGATGTGTTGGCTTCTTCTTTTTCTCACATAGCAGACTGAGAGCAGAAATGTGTTTCTCGTTTTTTTTGTTGTTGTTGTTGTTGTTTTTTTGAGACGGAGACTTGCTAGAGTGCCCTGCCATCAGCCTAGCTCATGGCAACCTCATGGCAGGGCAGCCTCCTGGGCTCAAGCGATCCTCCTGCCTCAGGCTCCTGAGTAGCTGGGACTACAGGCATACGCCACCATGCCCCGCTAATTTTTTGTATATATATTTTTAGTTGGCTAATTAATTTCTTTCTATTTTTAGTAGAGACAGGGTCTCACTCAGGCTGGTTTTGAACTTCTGACCATGAGTAACCCACCCGCTTCGGCCTCCCAGAGTGCTAGGATTACAGGCATGAGCCACCATGCCCGGCTTCTCCTTTCTTCTTGATACCAAGAGGAACCTGGTACTGCCTCTTCTTGAGGATCAGGGGAAGCTCACAGTCCCATTGTCCACTGAGGAACTTTCTTAAGGCTGAGAAATTTGTCAGAGATGACAAGTGAGTCCATACAGGTTTTAGTTAAACAAAGTCTAGTTGTGTTGTGAGTATATTTCTCTTATTTTCTGTTTGGTGTCTTATTTTCTTCTGTTGCATAGGTTTTCAGTAAGACTGCCTTTCAGTGTGGACTCCTGACAAGCAGCCCAAGGCTCACCCCCCCCAACATGGCATCTGGTCTCCCATCCTACTGTGTGGCCTCAAACAAGTCACCTGGAGTCCAGTCTGTCCTCTCCCCCAAGACGGTACTGTGGAGTCCCAGACAAGAGAATATTCAAGATTGGCTTCATTCCCCCTTCTCCACCTAGTAATGGGAAAGTCACTTCAAAAGGCAGTCCAGGAGTTCCAAGGTCAGAAACTTCTCACATGGAATCAAAATCTGGGCAGCTCATCCATGGGTCACCTCAGGGCAATGGGGATCAAGTCTCACATGCACAAGCACCACCACTTTTCCCATGTCTACAGCCGTCCAGAATGGACTGCTCCTCTGAGAAGCAGGTCTCTTCCCTGACTGCCCTGCCTGTGTGAAAGAGAAGAGCCATCAGCCCGCCCTGCAAGGTTTGCAGTGGAGCCTCCAGGCAGCCTGGAAGCAGGGCTGGGGACAGGATCAGACAGCAAGAGGGGCACACTAACAGTCAGCAGCCCACACTGCACATGCCTTCCTCCTTCCCTCTTCCTCTATAACCTAACTTCTTCCCAATTTTGGATAAAAGAAAAAAAAAATAACAAGATGATGGGTGGGGTAGTTTCAAGGGCTCATTTAGAAAGATGAAATTACAGGCAACATTTACTGTCTTGGCAATCTGAGGAAGGAAATAACCATTGATGCAAACAATAGCGTAATTAAATTCTTAAGAAAAACTTTGACATATTCCTGGAAATCTACAAGTCCAGGCACATGCATGGTCACAAAAGGTCTGAGAAGGCCCTAGTTCCTCACCTCTGGCTGACTTTGGGGCTTTGCAGAGCAGGAAATAAAGTCTATTAGAGAGTTGTCTACTGCCTGGATGACTACAGAAAACAAGGGCGACATACAGAAAAAAAGCATAGGATCAATGTAACACTAAGTAGAGAATATCAATAAAGATATAGAAATCATAACAACAAAGAACCAAGTAAAAATTCCAGAGTTGAAGAATATAATGACAAAAATGAAAAAATCACTTAGAAGGGCTCAACAATAGATATGAGCAGGCACAAAAATAATCAGTGCACTTTGTTTGCCAGGTAGAGTGAGTGCCATGCGGTTCAGCTAGTCACAGCAACCTCAAACTCCTGGGCTCAGCGATCCTACTGGCCTCGAGCTCCGGAGTAGCTGGGATACAGGCATGGTGCCACCATGCCCGCTAATTTTTTATATAGCTATATATCAGTTGGCCAATTAATTTCTTTCTATTTTTAGTAGAGACGTCGGTTTGGCTCTTGCTCAGGCCTGGTTTTGAACTCCTGACGTCGAGTCAATCCGCCCGCCTCGGCCTCCCAGCAGAGCTAGATTACAGGGTGAGCGCACGGCGCCCGGCCTGCCCACTTTTAATAGGGTTATTTGATTTTTCTTCCTGATTTTCGTGAGTTCTAAGTATATCTAGTTATCAGTCCTTTATCGGATGCGTAGGATGCAAAAAATTTCTCCCATTCTGTAGGTTGTCTGTTACTTTCATGACTTTTCTTGGCGTGCAGAAGCTTTGTGTTTGATCATGTCCCAATTTATTTATTTTTGTTGCCTGCTGTGATTGCCTTGTGGACTTCTTCATAAACTTTTGCGCTAGGCCAATGTCTAGGAAGTGTTTCCAACCTTTTCCTCTAGAGTTCTAATAGTTTCATACCTTAGGTTTAAGTCTGTTATCCAGCGTGAGTTGATTTTTGTGAGAGGTGAAAGGTGTGGGTCCTGTTTTAGCCTT